TTTGCTCCTAGTCCTTTAAATTGTGGCTGATTAGCTTCATCCAAGGATCCAATCAATGAATTAATTACTAGTATTAATTCTTTGTTTGTTGTTGAATTTTCTGATAATTGATTTTCTCGCTCTTTAACAGTAACAGGGATTATACAAGTAATTCCTGATGATTTTTTTGAACCCAGTTTTTCTTTAATGAAATCTATTCAAAGAGCTTTGACTGTTAAGCTAAATGATTTCATTGCTTCACTTAATTTGTTACTTTTATCCAAATTTTCAAAGGCATGATCAAGTTTTAATGGGTCCAAGAAACCAGTATTTCTTAATTCTGCTCTAAAGCGTTGAGATTCTTTCTCAAAATTTGGACATGATCGAGGGCCTGAGCTTTCTTGATCTGTGTACCCAATTGTAGTAAATAACCTTTTTCGAAGCTACAAGCCAAAGAAAATGGTTTTAAAAGAAAACCAATATTATAATACAAATAAATAATAAAATGTCTAGTTTCTTTCGCTCTTTCCCACTGAAAAATCGACACGAGCAATAAGTCCCAAGTTAAAACTATTCGGTTGTTTTGAACTCAAAAGAAATTATTGACATTTAAAAATAAAGCAAACTTGGACGACTTTGTCTCATCCCAACTTTCTTTAAAGGAAATCAGATTTGAGCGAGTGTATGCAGTGGCTATTGCTTCGAAATCGTGAGAAGCCAAAAAAGTATCAAAATCCAAAGATCGATGAAATGTATTTTTGTATGCTGACTAATAGAACTTGGTGACAAACTAGAATTATCAAAAAGTTGACGTTTTGCCCAAATTTCATCAAAAAAGAAAATCTAAAGAGCTTACTTTTTATGTATTTAGTTCTGGGGACCCCTTAAATTTCTATAAATTATATCGCTCACGTGTTATAAAACGTTGTTATGATTATCGATTATCTCATTATAAATTTATCAAATCTGCTTTAATAAAAATAAATAAAAAACCAAAAAAAATAAAAATAAAAATCAAGTAAAATTTACATAATGACAACAGTACTAACTGATTTTGTAGAAAGACCAAATTTTGGTAGTGAAGGACGAGCCATTAGAGTCTATACAAATTTTTTTAAAATGACTTCTTTGCCTGAAGCAGATATTATACACTATGACATCACAATCACACCAAGCGTACCTCCTGCTTTAAATAGAAAAGTATATAAAGAATTTGTAGAATTAAATAGAACAGGAATCTTGTGTGGAATAAGACCAGTTTTCGATGGTAAATTTGCGATTTACTTACACACACACACACACACATATATATATATACATACATATATACATATAAGAAATTTTCTATTAATATCTTTTAAAAAAAGGTCGTAAAAATGTCTTTGCTCCAAGGCTTTTGCCTTTACCACCTGGTGAAACTACTAGTTTTGATGTAATTATAACATTTATTTTTCTTTTTGTAATCATTAATTTTAAAAATAATTTTTTTTTACAAATAAGGTAACAATTCATGACGATGATGCTACTGGTGCTGCTGCCGCCGCCAATAATAGACGTCTTCCTAGGCTTTTTAAAGTCAGTATAAAAAAAGTCGGTGAAATAAACATCAATGAGCTTTATAGCTATCTTGGAAGAAGATCTAGACTTACATCCAATGTTTTGAAAGGTAATAATAAAATAAAAAATAATGATTGCTACAAAATAAACAAATAAAAACACATTCTTCTGTTTGTTATTTTTGTAGCAATCATGGCCCTTGATGTTCTTATCAGGCATCAACCGTCAATGAATTATTCCACGGTAGGTCGATCGATTTACACACCTAAAGAAGCTGGTCCTCTTTTTGGAGGTTTAGAGGCATGGCAAGGTTATTATCAGTCAGCTAGACCAGGTCAAGGTAAATAAAATAAGAAATCATTCATATTACTACGAGAGAAATATATATATATATGTGCTTATTATTTTTTACAACTTAAATAATAAATAAATATTATATTACTAGGTCAAATGTATGTCAACATTAATTTAAGTGCAACAGCATTTTATGAATCTGGTTCGCTAATAGTAACGGTTGCTAAAATACTGGGACGTCGTGATCCAGATGATCTTAGAAGAGGTGTTATGGATAGAGATTATCATAAGCTTGAAAGATTTCTTAAAGGGCTTAAAATACGTGTAATACATCGGGGTGAAGCTACTGCCAGAAGAACATTTAGAATAATAGGAATTACTTTAACCCCAGCAAGTGATACTATGTTTGTCAATGAAACTGGTCAAATTAATGTTGCTTCTTATTTTGCTACAACCTATAGGCGTCGTCTAAATTATCCTCATCTTCCGTGTGTTGTCGTCAAAAGGAATATATTTTTTCCAATAGAAGTTTGTGAAATTGTAGAAGTAATTATTATTTTTTTTTTTTTTTAAAAAATTTAACTCTGATTTTTCATGTTATAATAAATAGAAAAATTTTATATAATAATCAAATTTTTCCCATTATGCTGAACTAGGGTCAAAGATACACTCGTAAATTAAATGATAAACAAAATGCCGACATGATTAGATTAACTTGTGTATCACCAAATATCAAAGCAAATAAAATAAAAAATGGATACGATGTACTCAATTATCGCGATAATGAATATCTACAACAATTTGGTATAAGAGTCTCGAATGAGATGGGGGCGGTATGTTTTGACTATCTGTCTATTTATATCTATTGTCATAAAATAAATATAGAAAATATAATTATTTAAATTAGTTATAAATAATCATGATTGTTTTAAGGTTCCTGCTCGAATATTACCAACCCCAACACTTCAATTTAATCCCTCATCTAAAGATCCTAATGTTAGACCCAAAGAAGGTGTCTGGAATTTAAAAGATAAAAAAGTTGCTGTCGGTTCCACATTAGGTTCTTGGTCCATCGTTGTATTTGGATCAGATCGTGAGCTTCCAGATCAAGCAATAGCATCGTTTAATCGGGAATTTGTCTCGACTTGTCAAGACTCAGGAATGGTATGCTTTTGACATATACGCATATACATTATCATAATATCATTTTACCCATACATTGATTGCTTTACTATTATTTATTAGCCTTATAAGTTTTCCTCCTTCTTTCCTCCTTCTAGTTTAAAATTTATCACTTTAATTTTATATTTGTTTTATTTTACACACACATCAGAATATTCCAAATAGGACTCCGCCAGTAATACATGCAAATGCCCAAGGTGATATAGAGGCTATATTGAAACAAGCATGGCTTCGTGCTGGAAATGCAGCCAAAGCACAACCACAATTAATTCTATGTGTGCTTCCAAATACTGGAATTGGTCTATACGCTGAAATAAAACGTGTTTGTGATACCGAAATCGGAGTTGCTACACAGTGTATACAAAGCAAAAACATGCTAGCACCAAAGAAACAATATTGTGCTAACGTTTGTCTAAAAATTAATGTTAAACTTGGAGGAATGAATTCTTTCTTAAACCCTGCAGAGATCCCATTCATATCTGAACGACCAACAATTTTGATGGGTGCAGACGTTACACATCCACCTCCTGGTATTTGCGTTATTTTTAAATTTATTATCATTATCATCATCATCATCATCATCATCATCACCGTGGCTTTTTTTAAAAAAAAAGTCTCAAATAACAGGCTCACAGAATAAGCCATCAATAGCTGCTTTGTGCGCATCAATGGATGCAAAGGCATCAAGATATGCTGCTTCCATCCGAGTACAACATGGAAGGGAAGAGATTATTGCTGATTTGACAAGCATGGTAAAAGAATTGTTAAAATTGTTTTATCAAACTTGTGGAAGAAAACCTGAAAGAATATTATTTTATCGGGACGGTGTATCTGAAGGTCAATTTGCTAGTGTTCTTAGTGGAGAAGTAAACGCTGTTAGAGGTTCATCATCATCATCATCATCATCATCATTGTCGTCATCGTCATCGTCATTGTCACTTATAATAATTTTGAAATTAATTAATTATATTAGAAATCTGTTTAATATTATATTTATGTGTGCTTATATATATTTGATACAATAATAATGATTAGCTGCTTGTCAAGCTCTTGATATTAATTACGCACCAAAGATTACGTTCATAGTAGTTCAGAAACGTCACCATGCCCGCTTCTTCCCAACAACCAATAAAGAATCTGACCATACAGGTAATTGTCTTCCAGGAACTGTTGTGGAGCATGAAATAACCAATCCGATTGAATTTGATTTTTGTAAGTTTAAACTGAATTTTAATATTTTTTATTTTTTTTTTATTTTCATTTGAAGATTAATTTTCATTTTTAAATAGATTTGCAAAGTCATCCAGGATTGCAAGGAACATCTCGACCTACACATTATCATGTATTGTATAATGAGAATGATCTTAGAGCTGATCAGTGAGTTTTAAAATGTGATCTTATAAATCAATGAATATTAATTACTTTAATGATTAATATATATATATATATATATACATAGAATCCAAACGCTATCTTATAATCTATGCTATTTGTTCGCAAGATGTACACGTGTAGTTTCATTGGTATGTTTGTTACAATGGTGATATAATTATTTTTTTTTAAATAAATAGCCATGATGATGATAAAAAAATTTTTTTTTTGTAGGTTCCACCAGTTTATTATGCTCATTTAGTATGTAGTCGTGCTCGTTATCATTCTCGTGGAAAATGGACCGATACAGAATCATCCGATGAAGGAATAGGTTCGACATTTGATGCTGTAAGACCTGAATTACAAAAGGTAAATTGAATTCGTTTGTATATTTATTATTTTATTGTTAGCATTATTACTATTGTTTATATGATTATAAACAAATTTTTTTTTACAGCTAATGTATTTCATATGATTGATTATGTTTGGTATTGGAAATATAATAAATATAGCATTTTTGGTTCTTTTAAAAAAAAAATAAAGTTTGTGAATGAATTTATACAAAAATTGATTTTTTTTTATTGCACACACATGACTAATTTTTTAATTAAATTGATCTAATTGAAACTTCTGAGACCTTTTTCTCTCTTTCTAAAATCACAATAACAATGAAAACATAGATGATGTATTAAATTTTTTCTACCACAACCAGGACATTGAATAACATTGACTTTATCTTTTAATCCTTTGTTTGCTGACCTCATTCTTTTTTTCGAATGTGAGGTTTTTTTCTTTGGAACCGCCAATACTATTGGCCCAAATATTTCAACCAGACCAACTGCAAAACCAGTTTTTTGTTGAATTTTTCTCCATAATCTATTCAATATATTAAACGATGTTGTCAATGTTGTTAAATTTAGATTTGTTTTCGTTAACAATAATTGTTGCGGTGCTGCTGCTGGTGATGGTTGTAATAATATAGCTTGACGAAATAATAAAATACTTGATAAAAATTTCATGTTTACAGATAAAAATAATAAATTTCGTGTTACATGTGCAATATATATCAGTGATGATGATGATTGAACATCAGATAATTTTTTTTTTCGAAAAATTTTGTTTTTTTGCATTCGTTAATTTATTTTTATAAAAAAATTTTTTTTTATCGCCTAGAGGTGAAAGTAACAACATCATGTATGTATGCGTGTTTTTAATTTCATAATAATAACAATAATAATAATAATTATTATTATTATTATTATTGTTTTAAAAAAATTTATAATAATTATTGATTAATAAAAAAAAAAAAAGTGAGGACATCTTTACAAAAAATCAATTAAAAAAAATATGCCTCCATCGGATGAAGATCGAGATGATGTTGAAGTAACTGAAACTACTAATGAAAATGTAGAAGAAGAAGAAGAAGAAGTTCATGTTACTTCTGATACTCCCATCAAAGGTCAATTGGTAATTATGATGATAAAAAAAAATGTGGTTATTGATTGATTTGGTTTCAAAATAATAATAATAATAATAATAATTTAATTAGACTATCGAAGAAGCGCTTCAAGATGTTTTGAAAAGATCCCTTGTGGTTGATGGTTTAGCCCGTGGTCTCAGAGAATGCGTTAAGGCCTTAGATAGGTAAATAAATAAATAGATAGATATGTTTCACGTGTGTTCTATATATATATATACATGTATTTATATTTATTTGTAATGCAATCTTTAGACGACAAGCCTTCTTGTGTGTGTTAGTGGAAACTTGTACTGAAAAAGAGTACATCAAATTGGTTGAGGCTTTATGTTCCGAGCATTCTATTCAACTGATCAAAGTTAGTGATGCTAAAAAACTTGGTGAATGGGCGGGTCTTTGTAAGATTGATCGTGAGGGCAATCCTCGTAAAGTCGTTGGATGTTCATGTGTCGTAGTCAAAGACTATGGTGAAGATTCTGAAGCTAGAAATGTACTATTAGAATATTTCAAATCACGTTAAATGGTTATTTAAAATTTTGATTGATGTTTTCTTAATTTGTCAAAAAAAAAAACCAACAAAAAATAAAAAAGTTCATCCAAACATACTATAATAAATTTTTTCTCCTTAAAAAATATGTAATTCAATTCCAAATTACCAGAAGATGCTAGCACAAAAACCATTATCTACAATCATAAGCAATATTTGTTTTTATCACATTTATTGGGTAGATATTTCCCCATAACAAATAGTTCCATGTTACAACTAATTAATTAACGAATGATTCTTTAATTCTTAATATAATTAATTATACTTGTATAATTAAAAATAACTGTTTATTCACAAAATTACAAAATACCAAGCAGATAAAATTTGGTCGCACAAAAATTTTTATTAAAATATAGAAAAGGCAAGCTTGTCAGATAATACAAACAAGATTAGGATCTCAAATTGGTATAGCCATCCCTTTTGTAAAGATTGTAGGAATATCAAGAAACGTAAAGAAAAGTGATTATACTTGTATCTATCTATGGATAATATATTTATATTATACAAAACAAACACTATTTTACAACTTTCTCTTAACATCAGGGCCCAAATGCAATCTCAGGGCCACCAACCCTGCTCTGAATTGCGACCTCCTGAGCTTGGAACAAGTTGCAGATTCTCGTTGCTTTGATGATCTGGATGTTTATGCGTACCTAATATTACAATTCATCTGCAGAGTTGCAACTTGGTCACAGTGCCAGCCTTACCCAGAGGTAAGATCGTTGCAGGTAACTTTTCATCCAACATGCCAGCGGCCATCTCTGGTCTGGGTGCTGCGAGGGAAGATTAGTGAAAGTGTCATTGACGATTGATGCAGTCTCCAGGGCCTTGGGCCCCCCTGGAATTCAGTTGCAACATTGTATCATCGGGGGCAGCGTGGTCAGATTAGCCTTGTGTACACGAGGAAGATGAGAGAATGACTGTAATGTGTTCAAGGTAGCATGTGTGTCTTGATAATTGTAAAATTCCCAATAATCAAACGTCACATACTCAAATTGTTTCAATTGTGCTGCCTTGACATCTTCTTGTATAGTAATACATATATAAACTCGATAAGTCAGTCACGCGGGGGCAGGCACATTTGACCAACTTATTGAGTAAACCAACTTATCGAATTTCATATAAATTTTTTGAATTTTATTTAATAAAATATAATAAATTGTTTAAACAATGTATAAAAATTATTCATTACTATTATGAAAAAAAAATTTCTAAGGTAGGTTGTTTTAAAGAAGCATTTTGTTTTCTTCTAATTTGATGTTGTAGGTCTCTCATTCCTGATATTACTGAGTTATTTATTTTTATATCAGAATTTTGTTGTAAATAATTAAATAGATTTTGAATACTATCCAAAGCAACTGTACATGATATTGGAGCACTCATAGTTTCTTCTTCTTCTTGTTCTGGTGCTTCTTGTACTGCGGCAATTATTTCCTCATCATCAATTATTTGAGAGTTTCTATTCTAGAGTCAATATTAATATAGTTACTTGCTGCGATACCATCAACATTCATTTGATCAATAAGTAATTGGACTGCATCTTCTTCATCTTCTAATAAATATTCTAATTCATTTGGTCTCATTTCCTTATCTCCTTCAACCATTTCCTCATCTTCTTCATCATTAGGTAGAATATCTGTTCTTTGCCAACAACGGTATATTGTATCATCAGTTACATTATCCCAAGCTTGTGCAGTCCAATTAATCGCATTCAAAATATTTAACCTAGGAATATCAACACCAAGTTCTTGGTTTTCATCATATGCTTGAATCCTGTCTTGGCATAATAATTTTCTATAATGGGCCTAATACAAAAATAAATAAGGTAAATTTTCTTATATTTATCATTAAAAAAAAATGTATAATTACCTTAAATGATCGTATTATACCCTGATCAATTGGCTGAAGATGAGAAGTTGTATTTGGTGGAAGAAAATGCAATTTAATATTGCTCAATTCTTCACCTTCTTCCAATTGTTGTGATGAAGCATTATCTACTAATAATAAAACGTTTCTTCTTCTTTTTTGCATTTCTTGATTAAATTGTCTAATCCATCCTTGGAAAATAGAACGTTGCATTAGTGTTCCTATGAACCGAACCGAACCGAACTTCAGGCCATGTTCAAGTTCGGTTCATCAAAACTCAGTTCAGGTTCAGTTCGGTTCAATAAAGCAAAGGTCAGTTCAAGTTCAGTTCAAATTTAAAATTTTCAGTTCAGGTTCAGTCCAAGTTCGGTTCAAAGTTCATGAACAAGTTCAAAGTTCAATCATGTGATGTCATTAATTAATAAAAGAAGTGCAAAGTGCAAAGCACATATAAAAAAATATAAAGAGGTAATGATGACAATAATGATTATGATGATTATGATTATGATTATGATTATGATTATGATGATAGTGATGCTGATGATGTTGTTGGTAATGATTCTAATAGCATTAACAGCAATACAAATACAATATCTGAATCAGAGAATTAGGAATTCAAAAATTTTTTTATAACATAAACAATAATAATTTCTTTTTGAATTAACACATAGTATATACAATTTCATCTCTAACAATAACCAACAATTTTTATACAACCAATTTTTTATACTAATAAAAAATAATGAATAAATTAAATTACCTAATGAAATTTTAATTTTGGTGAAATTTAAATGCAAAGTAATTTAATGATATGACTTGCTTTATTTGCTTGAATAAATTCCCAACTTCTCCTTCAAAGGCCCCTGCATCCATGATTTAAGACATTGTCCTGCTCTTACAGTCTTTGGTGCCAACTTACATCTTTTATCTGTGATCATATTTTTACTTGAAGAAAAGAGGCGTTCAGAGGAAGTGGAGGTTGCAGGAATTGAAAGATAGTCACGGGCTATACAAGCAAGATGAGGAAACTGTTTCTGATGGGCCTACATATGTTATTTACTAACTGACATTAATATGCATTCTAACAACTTATTCATAATTAACATATTCTTTACCTTCCACCATGCCAATACATCTGTATCCTTATTTGCTGGTTTCTCAGAAATATAACATTCAAGTTCATCTACATCATTTTCATCTTCATCAAAATCTGCATCTAGCATTGATTGTGTGACTGTCCTATTGGTGTTACTATTACTATCATTAATTGATGATGAATTTGTGATAGATATGGATGTTGATGTATAATGTATTTCAAGGAGATGTCGCATCCTAAACATTAATTCAGTGAATTAGAATTGAGAAATATGGGTCAAAAAACCTTCAAAATTAGATTGCTTACAGCATTTTTGTTTCACTGATATCATCATCTAGAAATCCTTTCTTTGTAAAATAATAAAGCTTTCTTCTTGGATCTAATGCTGTACACAACATCATAAACATATTTGTTTTTGAATAATATCGTACTAACTTATCTCTTGCTGCTTTAGCTGCTATCTGAATTTTCCCAGTCACTTCACCTTCACTTAAATCTGCTGTATCTTCAACATGATCAATAATAATATTGAAGAGAGGGATGATAAGGTAGGCTGTACTATATGAGCTAGTTGACATCTTTAACGTAAGGTCTTTGAATGGTTCAAGGAATTCAACAATTTTTTCAAGAGTAGCCCACTGTGTATGAGAGATGGCATACTGATGAAGGTCATCATGAATGCTAGTGAGGGTGTTGAGTGCCTAAAAATTGTTATCAGAATTTTGAATTCTGACATCTGAAATGATAGGAAGTTAAAAGAAAAACTTACTGGTTTAAGATAAAGACCATTCCTAATCATATCATGTGTAGAGTTCCAACGCGTAGTGCAATCAAGGATAGGCTTGAGAACTTTAATTTTGCATGCATTGCAAGCATTTTCAAGAAGTTCAACCCATTGAGGTGAAGTACGAATAGCAGAGTTGAGTTCCCTAATCTATGAGATCATTAGTGTAAACATTTATAAAAAAAAATAATGAAAGAATATATCTTTACCATGTTAATATCTTCTTTCACTTTTTCCAAAGCTGCCTGTACTGCCAAATTAAGAACATGATCAAAACATCAGAATCGAATATGCTCCCAGTTCCACTCAGTCTCTGTTTCTTCTCTTAATTTTGTTGCTAATTCCCGTACAAATGTATCATTATTAGAGGCGTTGTCCAAGGTAATAGCTTGAAACTATTAAGAAAAGAATTATAAAAATGATAAAATAAAATGAAGAAAACTTTAAAAAAGACCATATACTTTTGATATAATGTCATAATCCTTCAACACATCAAAAAACCCATTAGCAATTTTTACACCTTCATGTTTCCCTTTCATCAAACCAAAATCAACAACTGTCTCATGAAGGACCCAGTCATCATCAATGTAATGAGCTGTGGCGGAAACAAAGGCCTTGTTATTGGGAGAGGTCCAAAGGTCTGATGTAAAAGAAATTTTGGAATTTATAGTGGAGAGGTACACCTATAATGCCACTAATGGTTATTAACAAAAAAAAAAAAAAAGCACAATGCAACAATGGTAAAGTCTACCTTTAACTCTCTCTTTCCCTCTTTGTAAAGTTTCATAATTGTATTCTTAATTGCATCAGCCTTCACTGGTTTGACATTGGGATTCAAATATCTAAATATTTCAATAAGTTCAGGATCTTCTGCTGTGAGGAATGGACGTTGACAATTGATGAGCCAAATGGCAATCATATCATGAAATTTTTCATTATCAATAGTAGTGGAGGAGTTGACTGGAGACACAGATGACTAAAATACAATTAGTATCAAAATTGAAAAAGGAAAACAAAAAATAATTCAAAAAGTAATTTACCTTTTTTAAAAATTCCTCTATGTTTCCACTTTCTATTTGTGTTTTTTTCTTTTTTTTATAATATTCTTCAGTCTTAACATAAACCATCCAATGTGAATTCTCCAAATGATGCCAGAGTGGCCTTGTTGTACCTTCCTTTCCACAGGAAAAAGCATTGTGTGTACATTTTGCAATTATACATTTTGCAATTTTTTTGTCCTTTCCCCATTCGATTTTCTCAAAATAATTCCATACCTCACTTATATGATTACGTTTGTTGGAGAAAATTAAGTTTTGTGAATCTTTATTATTATCAGCATTAGAGGATTGGGATAAGTTTTCAGAGTACATGGTTATGTAAGGGTTTCAAATTAATGTATGATATATATATAAAGACCTGGATGCTTTAAATGTTTTACAACTCAAAAAGTACCAGTAGTTGTCATTACAGGAAAAAATCATGAAATTAATGATGAAAAATGATGGTTCATTGGCATAAAGAAACAAGAAGAAATTTTTTTTTTTATTTACTTATTTATTTATTTTTAACGGAAAAAAAAATTTTTTAAATATTTGCAGTGTTACAATCTTTTTCTAAATTTCATTGCAGATTATTAATTTATTTCAATTAAAAAGAAAGTCTGATTAATTAACACTTATTAATAATGGCATGAAAAAAGATTTTCTAATTAGAATTCCATTTGATATTTTAATATAAACTTTTTGAAAATCTTGCTGATTTTTTATAATCATGTAGTTTGCCGTTTTTTTTTGTTGGTCAATATTTATCACGTCCAAAATTTGTCACCGAAAATATATTATTCTCCCATAACATCAATGCTAATAAAAAAATTATTTTTGGCTTGCCGTATTTTTATTATTATTTATATTATTAATGGAAAAAAAAATTTTTTTATTTTTGATAATATTTTTGGTGACCAGCTGTATTTATTATTATGAAAAATATATTTTTGATGACCTGCCGTTTTTTTATTTAATTGAAAAATATATTTTTGGTGACCTGCCGTTTTTTTATTTAATAAGAAAAAATATATTTTTGGTGACCTGCCGTTTTTTTATTTAATAAGAAAAATATATTTTTGGTGACCTGCCGTTTTTTTATTTAATAAGAAAAATATATTTTTGGTGACCTGCCGTTTTTTATTAATATTAATATTAATTCTAAAAAAAAATCATGTTTTTTTATTGTAAATTTTTTATCATTTGTTTTGATTCAGAGGAAATTATCTTGCATTATATCTTTTTTCAAAAAGAAAAACCGTTTTTTTTAAATGGCAAAAACGTTATTTGCTTATTGAAAAAGTCTGGTGATTTTATAAATTCAATTTAAATAATAAAGTTCATATGATGACTTTCTATTACTATAATAAATAATGATTTAAATATCTTACTCTAATATTTAATTAAATTTCTGTATAATAATAATAATAATGGGCTCGTATAATATATCACTTACCTAAAAATTTTAAAAAATTTATGATAAATAAATATATGATAAATAAAACTTATGATGATAAAAAAAACTTACATTAAAAAACGATTTTTCTTTAGAATTAATTATATATTAATATTAATAAAAAACGGCAGGTCACCAAAAATATATTTTTTCTTATTAAATAAAAAACGGCAGGTCACCAAAAATATATTTTTCTTATTAAATAAAAAACGGCAGGTCATCAAAAATATATTTTTCTTATTAAATAAAAAACGGCAGGTCACCAAAAATATATTTTTTCTTAAATAAAAAATGGCAGGTCACCAAAAATATATTTTTCTTATTAAATAAAAAATGGCAGGTCATCAAAAATATATTTTTCTTATTAAATAAAAAACGGCAGGTCACCAAAAATATATTTTTCTTATTAAATAAAAAACGGCAGGTCACCAAAAATATATTTTTCTTATTAAATAAAAAATGGCAGGTCACCAAAAATATATTTTTCTTATCTGTTATTAAATAAAAAACGGCAGGTCACCAATAATATATTTTTCTTATTAATTAAAAAAACGGCAGGTCACCAAAAATATATTTTTTCTTATTAAATAAAAACGGCAGGTCACCAAAAATATTATCAAAAATAAAAAATTTTTCTTCCATTAATAATACTATTAAATAATAAATAATAATAAAAATACGGGCAGGCCAAAAATAATTTTTTTATTAGCATTGATGTTATGTTAATTAGAGAATAATAAATTATATTTTCGGTGACAAATTTTGGATGTGATAAATATTGATTGACAAAAAAAAACGGCAGAAAAAAACAGCAAACTACATGATTATGATTTTTTTCTTATTTGTTAAAGTCTTTTAAACTCACTAACCAACTGTTGTTCCAAAAAGGAAATCTCTTTCAGGCCTGTTTTTATTATATTGGAATATAGAAATATATATATAGTGCAAGTCACTTAGTCACTGAACTTTTTGTGTTTTCAAAGATTGTCAAATGCAGATTTTATCCACAAAATTCAGCTCTAATAGTATTTCATTCCATGAATGACTTATAATTTATTTTGTTGTAAAAAAAAAATTTTATTTTTTAGAATATTGGTGTATCAATACACAGTGTGATGAAGTTGCTAAAAAAAATCAAAATCACTAGTTATTATTATTATTTCTTTCTGAACAAGATCATGCAATGTAATGTAACAATAATCCAGGGGAATTGCAATTTTCATTATAAGAGATATACAAAAAAATTTATACCTTCACATAAAATCTCAACCAGTCATGTGATTGAACCTTGAACTTGTTCATGAACTCTGAACCGAACCTGAACTGAACCCATGGATAAGTTCAGGTTCAGTTCAAGTTCAGATATTATATGTTCAGGTTCGGTTCAGGTTCAAAAAACAGCAATATGAGTGGTTCAAGTTCGGTTCAAGTTCAGGGTTCAATTGAACTTGAACCGAACTGAACTGAACCTAGGAACACTAAAGACCAGTTTCATCTGCATTATATACATCTGCCAATTCATATTGTGCAATTATAGATTGTAGTTCAGTTCTAAGTGCAGGTAATTCATTAATTGATGCACTTGCTGCTTCTCCTAATTTATAATGTTCTTTAATATTGTTTCTTTTTTTAAAATTTACAATCCACCCCTATTTAAAATCAATAATAGATATTTAATGAATTAATACACAATTTAAAACAAAAAGAAATTGATACTTACATGTGATGATTTGAAATCGGAAATATTAAGCCTTTGAGCAAATTGCGCCGCCTTTTGACTCAAGATCACACCAGTTATTGCAGTCAGTATTTTTTCCAAATTTGGAATTTCTAAATACTGTAATGATCAACATTCTGGAATACAATTGAAAATTCTAAAATTGCGTGCAACATTCTTACCCCCTTAAAAAAAATTTTTTTCCCTCAGTATATTAATATATATATATATATATATATATATAGTATATATAATTTTTATTTTTTTTTATTTGGATGATAAAATTTTATATCAATTTTTTTTTGAGCAGTTTAATTTTGGATACTTGGTATGTTGCTTTTATATTTTTTTGAACTAAAGAAAAATCCATTTAGTTATTGGTAAATTTTTTTGGTTTCATTAAAAATTTTTTTATGTAAATAAATATTATTGATTAAATATAAATAATTAAAAATTTATACATTATAAAATAAATAAGAAATAAATAAATAAAGCAAAAATTATTAATGCTTAAAATAAATTTTAACAATTGTTCAAAAAAATAAAATGACAAATTAATAAGTAAATATTTTATGCATAACCTTTACATCATAATAATAATCATCTATCATATTGCAATGACATCAGGTGGATTATATGTTCATTAGTGTTGATCTGTTTATTTTAACGTGAGTCAAACTATATAATAAAATAATAATTAATGGAATAAAGCAATAACAATAATAATAATATTTTTTTTCACTTATCTTAAATTCATTTTGGTTTTGCAGATGATATAATTCCTTTTAAATTGTCTCTTCTATTTCACCACCATTAGTGCCATTGTTGAGATCTTTGACTTGTTGCAGAATTAATAGTAGATCTTTTTTCTTTTTTGCTCCTAGTCCTTTAAATTGTGGCTGATTAGCTTCATCCAAGGATCCAATCAATGAATTAATTACTAGTATTAATTCTTTGTTTGTCATTGAATTTTCTGATAATTGATTTTCTTGCTCTTCAACAGTAACAGGGATTATACGAGTAATTCTTGATGATTTTTTTGAACCCAGTTTTTCTTTAATGAAATCTATTCGAAGAGCTTTGGCTGTTAAGCTAAATGATTTCATTGCTTCACTTAATTTGTTACTTTTATCCAAATTTTCAAAGGCACAATCAAGTTTTAATGGGTCCAAGAAACCAGTATTTCTTAATTCTGCTCTAAAGCATTGAAATTCTTTCTCAAAATTTGGACGTGATTGAGGGCCTGGATTTCTTGATCTGTGTACCCAATTGTAGTAAATAACCTTTTTCAAAGTTACAAGCCAAAGAAAATGGTTTTAAAAGAAAACCAATATTATAATACAAATAAATAATAAAATGTACTAATAATACTTACCTTCATAAATTTCATACAGTTTCTAGCAGCAATCTCCCAATGCTTTTGTGTGGGTACAGGTGGAACAAGTGCCTTTAGTGCTTTATTTATCTCTTCAAGTATAGCATCTAACCCTTGATGCTGATTTGACCAACCAGATCGAGATACAACAGAAATTTGCTCAATAAGCTGTTGAACTTCAGGATGAAGACACATTAATTGTTCTTCATCTGCAACCTCAATTGATCTATATATAGGATGTTGTCTTGCTGACCAAATTGGAGCAAAGATTCTTCATGATGCTGCTTTAAGTAAAGGTTGGTTATTCCTTATAGCAGTACGATAATTGATTATGGCTTGCAGATACCAAAAAGATCTTGAAGATTAATAATTAATTATTAGTACTTATTTTATCACATTTTTTATTAATATCAATGATTTACCTGCTCATATTTTAACTTATATAATTCATCTTTTTGATTCTTAGCCCAATCAAGATACCCATCAACACAAGGATCAGAAGTTGTTTTAATATAAGGCCATACTAACTCCATTGCCATTGCATGCCTATATATGTTACAAATAGAATCCCAACTTTTGTGATAATCACCACATCTTTTAAAATAAGGTAGTTGCTTATCATTTAAGGTTGCGGGAGAAACTCCTCCAGAAATCAATCGACAGAGTTTCAACAGGTTACACATTAATTGTTTATTAGAGTTTCGGCAGAGTTTCGCATTTGGGGTTTTCGCCAATCATCAGAGTTTCGACAGGTTACACATTAATTGTTCATTAGAGTTTCAACAGAGTTTCGACAGTCATTAAGAGGTTTCGCCCACAACCTTATTATCATTACGATATCCTTGGCAACAAGCAAAGTATTTTATATCAATGTTCCTAAAATCAAGAAGACAGAATTAAATATTATACAGTTATACACTGAACAAAATAAGTAATTCTTACAATAGTTATGAAATTTACCAATTTAATTCCACGAAGGATTTTAACATATTCATTTCTTCATGAAGTGGTCCAGGTATAAAGAGAATTCTTGGATAATCATTCTTAATTTTTTGTGCATAATTGAATGGAACACCATCACAAGCCACTGCAATCCATTTTCTTTTACCTTTGTTGATACCACTAATTTCTTGGATGTGATCTAAAACTTTACAAACATTATCAATTGAATTGGAATCCTGAGGTAATGCTTTTTGAGTTATGCTGATTGGATTTATTGGATTATTAAAGGAATTGTTGTTATTTTGATAGTGTTTGAATTTTAAAGGTTTGGTAGTATTTGTCTCCAAGATTGATTGATTGTCTCTTTGCATTTCTTGTTGGGTTTCAGTGAGTGTAGAAAGTTTTTGATTGCATTGAGGACATTTACACTTCAAATTTTCAATTTCCTTTACACCACATTTAATACACCTTTTTTGTTTTCCTATAGTAGAATTATTTAAAATAAGATTATCAATAAGATTTAGTTCACTATTTTTTTCTTCACATGCATCAGTTAAGATAACAGATAGATAATCTTGAAGTTCTTTATCAAGCAATGCTTGCATATCTGGTGTGATTTCAAAAAGTTCTTGAATCTGTAATGAATTTAATTTTTGATGTAACCAAGGGTCCTCAATAACCTGTATATTATTAGTGGGATCAAAATTAAATGAAATAAAACTTGTAACAGTATGGAAAATTACTGTATTATTTCCATGGTCTAAGTCCCTTTTGTTCATTGTCAAATGCCAAAAATAATAAACCATTTGAAAGTGGTGTAGCTTCGTGAGCTAAATCTTCTTGCCACCAAATAAATTTGTTGAAACCACCAGAACTTAAAAAGTGATTATCAATGTCAATAATTGTTTTTGATTTGGCTAAAGAATATTTAATTGATGATGCTGCCAAATTGATAGCAGATACATATTTTAAATGCCTTGCCCCATATATTGTATCAACAGCCACTGCACATTTAAATAGTTTTTCACCCTCAAGCTGACTTTCATTCTCATTAAGTGAAAGAGTTTCTAAAAATTTTACAATAACTGGATTTCGTTTAAAAAGCCATTGAGAAGTAGAATACTCTAACAGGTTATCTAAACTAAATCTATTCTTGTCATTAATTAAATCAATGATATCATTGTAAAAATTTTTACGCTCTTTTTTAGCAATTTCAATTACATATTCAACCCTTATTTTTTGATCATCAAATCTCTCATCTTTTAATTCTTTATTTTTAGATAATAATTCTTTATTTTCGAATAATAATGCTTTATTTTGAGATAATAATGCTTTATTTTTAGATAATAATTCTTTATTTTCAGATAATAATGCTTTATTTTTGAATAATAATTCTTTATTTTCAGATAATAATGCTTTATTTTTGAATAATAATTCTTTATTTTCAGATAATAATGTTTTATTTTCAGATAATAATGCTTTATTTTTGAATAATAATTCTTTATTTTGAGATTCAAGTTCATTGATTTTTTTCTTATATTCATTTATGTTGTTAATATATTCTACTTGTTGGAACTCAGAATCGATTAATTTTTTTATTTTTTCTGATTCTAATAAAATATTAGTGTTATCCTGATCTTGTTTCTCCAAGATTTCTTGTTGAATTGGATTATTATTAGTCATCTTAAATTTTTTTCATTGACCTTCTTCAAAAAAACTAGAGTTATCTTCAGCTTTTAATTTCTCAAGTAATGAATCATTATTAACAATTTGATTGTAATGTCTTTCACAGATTGAATAATCATTTAAAGAATCAATCAATGAAAATAATTCAGTAAAATACTTAGCAAATAGTTTTACACGACCCTTTACTTTATCTCCTGATGCTTGTCTAAAATGTTGTTCACTTTTAATATCACATTGTTTTAACTGTTTTTCAGAGTATTTGTCAGAGAGTGTAGAAAATAAGCAAGGTAAAGTGCCAGCAAATGGTCTTGATGTTCTATTCACTGAAGTTCAAAAGAAAAAACGGAAAAATTATTTTAAAAAACCAATAAACAAACTTTTATTACATAAATTTAGGCAATAGCATACTTTCTACAAATTAACAGATTGTTGTGGATTTTGAATGGATTATGAGAAAACAAGTTTGGTAGTATTTATTTCAATTATTATAATTAGAATGTTTTTAAAAAAAATTTTTTATAAGCCAACGAAGTATCACGTTAACTCGTTTGTAACATATATGAATTGATCGACAAAAGTATTCCAATTTTTCCAGAATCTATTCATGTTCAAAAAAAAATAAAGTTTGCCCATGTATATCAGAAAAATAAAATTATATGAGGGAGAGGTTGAATTTCGCACACATTAACATGTTTACTTTTGCATGGTCATAAATATAAGGACACTTCCAGATCATCGGAAATAATTGAATAAACATGAAAAAGAATTAAAAATTTTATTATCATAACCACGCTTATTAAGTAAAAATTGATAGTACCAGGTATTTGATTTTGTAAAAAACATTATTAATGTTATATTTTCCCCTCTCTCCTTCAGATAAATAAATAAATAAACAATAACTCTTTCTTCAAATATTAATCAATACAAATAATATTAAAATTATTTTTTTTTTTGAACTTTATAATGAATCTCGGAACAATTTCTTAATCTTTCAGCAGCTTGTTCTGGGGTGATATCACGTAGAGGATCAGCATATCTAAAAAAAAATTTTTTTAGAAACATTCAAACTATTATTAAAATTATTAAAATTATGATTTATAACTTACGCAACCATGAATTTTTTGATGGCAGCACTTCTTAATGGAGGATAAAAATGCACATGAAAATGTGAATCACAAATATGAGTTTTACCATCATTGTCAGTTTGTGATTGATGTATGCCCATTGAATAAGGGAAACTACACCGAAATAAGTTGTCATATTTACAAGTAATAATACGTAGAATGTTTGAAAAATCTTTTATTAACGAATTTCCATCATGTTTTGAAAAATCATTAAAATTTCTTAAATGAAATTTTGAGATTATCATAGTTTCAAATGGCCAAGCACTCCAATAAGGTGTCAAACAAACAAATGAATTGTTTTCATAAACTACACGTATTTTCCCTTTAACTTCTTCTACTAAAATATAATCGCACAATAAGCATGTTTGATATTTTTCAAAATAATTTGTCATTGATTCAAATTCTTTTGTTGGTTCACATGGTATTGAATCAGTGCTCCATATTTGACAATGTGGATGTGGATTGGAACATCCCATTATTGCACCTTTATTTTCAAAAATTTGAATATAATTTATATGTGGAATTGATGATAATCCTTGATATATTTCTATCCAGGTTTCAACAACCTTTGAAATTTCTTCTTGTGACATTTCTGCTAATGTTACATTATGGTTTGGTGAAAAACACATCACTTTACATTGACCTTTTACACTTTGTGTTCTTAACAACCATGAAAATTTATCTAAAATTTCAATAAAAATTTTAAAAACTCTGCATTACTTTTTTAAATCAATTCAAAAAGAAAATTCTTTTCCTTTACCAGAAACTTCTGTTTCATAATCAGGTGAGATTGATTCAACAGCTGAAAAATCGTTATCAAATAAAAATGTGTTTGAGTAATTAGGATTATGATCACCTTGAGCACGTGAATTTCCTGGACATAAATAACACTTTGGATCATAGCTTGGTAAAATTTCTAGAGTACTAGATTCCACCTGACCTAACCAGGGGCGTTTAGCACGTTGAGGTGAACATAATACCCATGAATTTGTTAATGGATTAAAACGTCTATGTGGGTTTTCTTCAAAATTAAATTCTTTTGACATTTTTTTTTTAACTCTGCCAAGAGAGAGTTATTTAGCAACACAGATCCGCAGATCGTTTATAAAAATTACAAGATGGTCAGGATTATTAGCAAATTTGGAAATGAATCTAGATCAATTTGTATATGGGCGAACGAGTTGACATGATACTTTCTGTCTTTTGAAAATCTTTTTTTTAAAAGAAAATTCCCGATACTTCAAAGTTTTAATGGTTGTATCCGCCGAATAATATTCAATTGTAATAGATCATTCACCGATTATCCAGTTAATCGGGTGTTGAAAAACTTTCAATGATTAATTTAATCGGGCGGATGTTGAAAATTTCACCGGATAATCAACGGATACAATACTACTTCGTTTCGTTTCTGCTGTTGCTGTACTTTAATGAAATAAACAAAAATAACATATAACCTTTTTCTTATGCCATCAAGAAGTTCTACTATTATTTACACATTATTTTAGAGATTTTTTTGTGTTACACTCCTTCGAGAGATTTACATTTTTTTGATTTAAAAATGTATTATCGATATCAAAAAATTAAAATAATATTCAATATAACAACAATTCCTCCGTCTTTTAAAAAAAGAATATTCAATTATCCCAGTAATAACTTGTCAAGTAGATCATTTCATACTGCTACCACATTAAAAGTACCAACAACTACGACTGGTGTTAAACCCGATTTAAAACTTTTACAAAAACTTCGGCAAGAAACATCGATTAGTTTAAGCAAGGCTAAAGAAGCACTCGTCAAACATAATAATGACTATAATAAAGCAAAAGAATGGCTTATTGAAGACTCGAAAATTAGTGGCCAAAAAAAGGCGGAAAAACTTAAAGATAGAATTGCAAAAGAAGGTCTAATAGGAGTTGTATTAACGAAAAATTTAGAAAACAATGATGGCTTGACATCGACAACTAGAGGCGCAATCGTTGAGGTATTTTCACCAGTAATAAAATAGTAATAACAATAAAATTTCTATGACTATAATCTATAATTAATCAATCATAAATCATAACGGTCTAGGTAAGTTGTGAAACAGATTTTGTTTCGCGTAACTTGTTATTTCAACAATTAGTCGCTCAAATTGCGTCCACCACACTTTTTTTATCCAACGATATCATTACTAATGAAAACAATAATGGTGAAAACAAAATCCCAACAACTAAAATTAGTGATAATGATAAAATTATTATTAATCCAATTTCACCTTTAGTTCTTAACACATTACCTTTACTTCCCCATCCTTCTTCAAATTCTATTAATAATAATTCCAATGCAACAACTATTCAACAATCAATTATGGATATAATTAGTAAATTAGGCGAAAATATTGTTATACGTAGAGCAGAAGTTGTTGGACTAAAAAATAATTATGATGGTGACGGTGATAGATCATTAAATAATAATAGAATTGTTTTAACAGGTGGATACGTACACGGAGGTGATTCGATGACTGGAAGAATTGGTGGACTTGTAGTAGTGGAAGTTTTGGGTCAAAACCTCAATCAATCGTTAGACTCGACTAGTAAGTTGATTCAAAACATAGCACGTCAAATTGTAGGATATAATCCCAAATACATCGATGATGATAAAGATGATAAAATCATCTCTTCCAAAATGCTTGGGAATTATAACAATAAGGATGAATTTTTAAGAGATAATGTACTTTTATACCAGGATTTCCTGGATGGATTAGAGAACGGTGTGCTGAAGTTTTATTTGAAGGTGATGAAGACGAGTCTAGTGTGGTTGGATGT